AAGAGCAGAAGAGAGACAGAAGAGTTGAGTAGTCCCTGCGGACGCATTCTCTGAAAAGAATCTGAAGGAGACGGCTCCCTTGATTCTAGCGCGGTGGAAGACAGCGGCTTACAAGGGCAGCTTGGCACCAAGGAAATTGGCCGAGGTGATGAAGGGAATGGAAGTCTCGACGAGCTCGGCAACGGAGGAGGACTTCAGACCTAAGAAGGCAAACACCAAAAGGGGATCGACGAGTGACAAACGTGGGAAGCGGACGTTGGTAAAGAATGGCTTTCGATTGAGCACCAGGCTACTGGGTAGCAAAAAGCCAGCGATCCTCTTGAGAGAAATGCGACGAGGAAAACCGCTCGACCTTGGTGGGTGGCTCTGGAGACCATGAAGGAACTGGAAGACTGCCTGAAGAAACTCGATCGTGGAGTGTCCCGCAAGTGTCGTAATTGGGCTACTCAACAAAAAGCCGAGATTAACAAGTGAGAGTTGGGGAACCAGCTGAAACGAACTTGGCAAAATCTGCTGCGGGTATATTTCGAAGAGGCGACTAGAACTATCGTCAGCGTTGCCATTGATGACGAATCTTTTCGTCATGACGGCAGGGCAGCTGCTTTTTGCATGGAGCTTGGTGGGAATAGAACTAGAGGTGTTGACCTCACACGAGAAATTGAAGCTGGGCAGCAAGAGTCTAGAGGTTTATCAAATGCTGGTGCAGCATATCGCCAGAGATAATTCCGGCTTAAATCTAGCGAGGAGAAAAGATGCCACTTGTTTCTTGAGGTGGATAATGTCAGTGATGACCAACAGCACCGTCCAAACGTGTAATCAGAAGGCGACGGGAAGTAAAACTATGGAAAGGAGAGTCTCCACAGTCACCTTGAACGTGTACCAGAGTACTGGAATCGAAAAGGAGGATGGCTCCAGACAGTCTCTAGAGAGTCACGGGAAACTTGACGAGCTACGGAGATTCTACAACAAGAATTTCGAAGAGGGGCATGACGTGCATCGTAATTTAGACCTGGTTGGAGACTAATCGATCCCCAACAAACGGGGGGAATATCAATGTGTGTCTGGAGTAATGGGGATAGCATACAACCCTTTCTTCGACTCAGAGGCTGGGAACGCTCACAAGAATTATCAAGTGACAGAGCTGTTGAATTTTTGGACAGATAATTGATAATTGAGATTGATAATTGAGATTGACCCAGTGGAAAGGAAAAGGCCGGGCCTAGGCCTGACACTTGAGAAGATACCAGAAGTAATTAGCGTACCGCGCTCGAACAAGAGGGTAGAACTGAAGATGGGAAATGGAAACGGCAAGCTGATTATGAATCTGGGGACGGTTTGGAAGTTGCTGAGGCCTTCTTGGTGCCCACATCTCCATGCGAGTTTAATTGAGGAAGTCACAGAGCGAGTGAGACTGTCACCGACGAAGGATGAAGAGTGGGGAACTCTGAATGTGGTGCACAAAATGAAACTACCCCATAGTAAGGAGTCGGGAGAAACCATGAGCAAGCTAGATAAATCAGTGAAGATGATGAAACCCGGTAGTTGTCTCGATCTGACGGGGGGAAGTGGAGAGCATTCTTGCGATGGACGGTCATGTGTCAGGATACAGTCCTTTCAGAAAGAAGATCTAGCCACTTGGTTTGGCGATATCACAGAAAAAGAGAAGAGTGAAGTACAAATAGTGGCTGAGTGTTACACGAACACCACTGTAAATATAGCAACGGCGTTGGGGTTCTTCTCAAGGATGTGCAGTTTGCAGTTGCTGGAGATACTGGAGTCCGAGCAACACTTAGTGACAGCGTTGAGCGTGGAGTCATGGCCTGGAGCGCTGCAAATAACCCAGAAGCACATCAGAGGGTGAAAGATTGGTCTTGAGGCGGAAATGGGGTTTCCCGTGAGTGAAGCCTATAGTTTACCAGTGAATGCGAATTCCCTAGTGGGATCAGTTATGGCCTACCCGTGTGGAAGCCACTATCCACTACACATGGCAATGGTGGAGGTATCCAGCCAGAGGATACTAATCGACAAAGCCTTCTCGGTACCCAAGTGCGTAAGCCTGGCTCGAATATCGTATCCTTCGCACAGACTTTTGAGAAAGATCCTGGGGACGGTACCGGGAGAACAAAGAGATAACTTGAGGGAGATCTTGGGAGAAGAACTTTTTAGTCTGGAAGGTGAGAACACGAGTGACTTCGAGAGACGGATTATGATTGGGAAGCCGATGAACAGTACTCCAGCCCTGGAGGAGAATGATGAGAACACCACTGTGAACGCAACCTCCGGAGTATAAACCTCACACATGGGATATGCCCGTGCCACTGTCTGGCACAAACGCTTTGGTATCCGGAGCATTCAAATATGGGACTTGTAGGAAGTTAGGTCAATCGGATTACCCGATCATAGGCAGAAGGTGACCCTACTGGTAGTGAGTTCAATGCTGGCGTTGCGATGGATGAAAGAAAACGTGACGAAATATCGAGAGTGGAAGGCACCGACAGCGGATTCGATACACGCCATTGATTACAGCAGGAGGCTTGAGTTGTTTGAGACTGCGTGCAAAGTATTCGCTCTACCAATGGAGGTCAGGCACATGTGGAGCCGCATAAGATTCTTCCCATGGTTTCGAGCGACATCGACGTCTTGATTATACGCGGTGACGAAGGATCACATGAAGAAGCATCAGAAAGAATATCGACAGTTCCTGGTTGAAATAGGGCCGGAAGCCTTCAAAAGACCCTTGCTGACCCATCGTAATGCAATCACAACGTGTTGGAAAAGAGTTGGTAGGGTGTTTAGAGATAACACCAAGGCGAGGGAGTCAATAATGGAAGAGAACTTAGCGAAGAACGTGAGTTTGAGCCTACACAACTCTTTTTGCCAGAACAGAGAATCTAAAATGACCAGGCGAAGAGACTGCAAGAGCAGAGGGAGTGGATGCGATCCTACGAATAACTAAAGGCTTGGGAAGAGATCGTGATCAGCTCCGACGATGAGGAGGCGCTGCTGAGGCAGATCACAGTGTCGAATGCATCAGGGCCTAGCACCTCAAGGACGAGGAGCACGAAGTGAGCAGGAAGCTCAGTGTCGGTTTCTTGAGTCTTGAGAGGGAAAGAAAAGGGGGCTTGAGTGTGAACTCGGATAAAATCTGAGGTCACGGAAAAGAAGTTTTAATGAACCAAAGTATTGTTATTAATATGATATATCTATTATATGAATCAAAATGCTGCATGACAATTTTCTGATTGGATGTGACAAAAAAAAATTTATCATTAGCTTGAAAAGCGGAAATTTAGGGTGCAGGTATATGCAGATTCCGATTTTTGTTTAGCGATAATGTGACAATTTTGCATGGTTGTGAATTTTGGGGTGTAGATAAAGTTAAATCTGTTGCAAACTTCTGTAAACGACCACTGGCACTGTATCTTGAGCAACACTTAACATTCTGGAGGCTCACTGGCAGACGGCGACACGCGATGAGGACATCGATCTTGAGTCAGGGGAGTATGTGCCAGTCGGTCATATTTGGAAATTTGACCTTGAGCAACGCAAGAAACATAATTTTGGGGTGAAATGAAACTTTTCCAAAAATTCAAATTGGACATATTATGCTCAAATTTCTCGCGACAACTGAAAATATCAGAAAAATGATATCAGAGGAATCGATTTACAATCGCGGGAAAGTAGTCGAAAAAGCTGCGGGAAATTGCTATTCGCAATTTCCGGATATCGCAATTTTCGGATTACACGAAAGTAGAGCTGTATTGTTCGAAACAGAAGGCAGAGTGATCGCGAACAAAGAAGAAGTAGATTAGAAGTGGACCAGAGTGAACCTTCGGTGGAAATGTGGACAAGCGAAGTCTCCCAATGGTCCAGAACCAAAACTTGTTTCTTGAGTTAAAACTGACTTGTATAAAACTTTTTGAGTCAAACTTGATTACCCATTTATGCTAGAGTTGCTGGTTCATTTAGTTACTCCAATTCTAGAGTTTGTCGGTATGTGAGTACCCAATTTAAATTTCTTGAATGTGTTTTATATTGTTATGTTGAGATGAGGAGAGTTTTAGGTTGATCCATCTGAAATGGATCAAAAGTCCACTGTCTAATAAAAAGTAACTATACGGATTGTTCCGAACCTGTTTTTAACGGCGTTCGCGTGTCTTAGGTATTTTGAGACCTGAGTATGGGGACGTTCTTATTTTCTAGAGTGGTAGGGGTATTTTGGTAGTGGCCTCTAAGCTGTAACAAAGGTTTTAGTCTCATGTCGCACGTGAACCGAATTGGCTCCGACCGTTTGAGGTAGAAAAACACAAGAGATAGTGTCCCTGACTCTTGAGCCAATGTTTATAGGGTCTTTTTTTCTTTAACCTCATATGTGACTTAAGTAGGCGACTGTTACATAGGCTGGAACTGGTTTCTAATCAGATTGATTAAAATTTTCCGCTTTTGCTTAATTTTTCGTAGATTCTGTCTATTATCATTAAACCCGGCGATATTGGTAACTGTATTAGGGTGCTTTGGTCTGTATTGTAATACTGTTTCATACAATTTTTGGAATGTGGCGCCGCGGTAAGAGTGCATTGTAGATTTTACCAGCGCTGGTTTGATATATTTTGTCCTTGATGTGCCAACTAGAAGCTTCTGTGAAAAGTAAAGGATGCGCCTGGTCTGGAATCGGGGCATTCTCCTCAAACACAGACAGCGAAGGCAACGCAAAAGCTCTTACGAAGAAAGTTTAGGGATCGTTGGGCAAAGAATCAAAGAGTTTAGTTTGAATCTGAGAGTTAAAAAAAAACACGAAAAAGTGATAGCTAGGAACGGTAGAACATGTGGTGTTGTTGTAGGGTTGTTCCACCTGCTCACTCCTTCTTGCGTCTAGATACGCCAGTGACGCTGCACTCACCTACGGCTGGGACGGCGACATTTGGTGAGATAATCAGAAGAGGAAAGCCCAGCGCGCATATGAAATGAAAACACACACGCGGTAAATATGAACAAAGACTATTTAATAAGTTTATCACAACAATTAGGCTATTCAATAAGTCAAGTTGCCAAATAGTAACCGACGCAGCCGCGCCAACGTGTTGCGAGCTGGCCATTAGATGTTACGACTCTATACGAAATATAGAGCCGGTTATCGCCGCAAAGCAGCAACGCGCGCTTAGCGCGCCCACCGGCGACCTTAACCGATACTCGGCTAATTTAAGCTTTTGACCAATTGAAAAGATTTGGGTCTTATGCGACTGCTTTTATATTTTGGGACCTATGAAAGTGATTTTTCATTTTGGAACCTATGAATAGACACCTATGCTAACATTTAAGTTTTATCAACAATTTCAGTTTTAGCCAAAGTTTTCAGCTCTGGTTGAGACTTAACGTGAAGCTTGTTAGGGTTGACATTGGGTTGCAACATCCTAAATGCACCAAGCAAGACCGATCAAAACCTTCAATTAGTCGAGTTATGGCGTTTCTTTATTTTTTTAAAAAATTTTATGTTGAAGCAAAAACAAGCAGTTCGTGAAATGGCTCCGGAAAATGAAATCCAAAAAAATTGGAAAGAGCCAATTTTTGACAGCGACATTGCAGACTTGATTTTACGACTCGAGCCATCGGACGTAAAAAGATTCAACGCGTTCCAGGATTTGGCTCCCAATGGTTGATCGTCATCCTGTGCAAAAATCTAAGGTTAAAACTGTCGAACCAACAACTCAGAATTGCGGTAGGACTTCGATTAGGCTCAAAAATATGCGAACGGCATAAATGCGTGAGCGGAAAGAACGTTACCGAGTATGGTTGGTATGGTCTTTTTTGCCTCAAAAGTGCAGGGAGATTCTCTAGGCATTTAAACTTGAATGCCCTTATAAAGTCGAGTTTATCTTCTATTCACATTCCGTCTGTTTTAGAACCACGACACCTCTACAGGACAGATCAGAAGCGACCAGACGGTTTGACGCTCGTTCCATGGGCTGTTGGTAAGCAGTTCTTGTGGGATGTAACGGTGGTAGACTCTTTAGCTCCTTGCAGGATTACCGCCGGGTCTGTTTGTAACCCTGGTACGGCTGCCGCTGAAGCGGAAGAGCAAAAAAATGACAAGTATAAAGATCTTGTAGATGACGGATATCTTTTTCAACCACTAGTTTTTGAGATTCAGGGCGCGGCCGGCCCCAGCTCAGAAATTTTTTTAAACAAGCTTTGTAAGAACCTAAGCATATGCACCGAGGATCCCAGAGCAGGCAGCTTTTTAAAACAGCGAATATCCCTGACAATACAGGTAGCGAACGCAGCTTGCGTACTCGGAACAATAAATGACAAAATAACCTTCGACGAAATTTTTTTTATTTTTGTGACACTAGTATTCTATATTTTCCCGTGTCGAGTTGCGTGTTTTTATTCAACACTTGTCATCTTCTTTTATCATTATCACTTCCATATCTAGAAGCTTCTAAACGAGCGGTTTGAATGGGATGCATCAAAAACGGCGAGACCATACTTCTTAACGAGTACCGTTGACTTTATAAACATTTTAATAAATGAAATAGAAAACCCAGTGTGAATGGACCCAATTTACTTTAACGGTTGCGTTAAATATCTTGTTTTTTTTTGTATAGATTTAAGCAAGCTTTTTTTAACGTTCAACAGTCTATTGAAAGCACCGGAGGTGCGAGTCATTCGCTAGTTATTTGTACGCTGCTGGGTCGGAATGTTGCTGAAGATCTATGCTCGTAGACCACGCACCATTTTTAAGATATCTGAATAAGTAATTTGTAGCCACCCGACCTGAATGAGTGGACAGCACAAATATCCAACCGAGGTTCTGCGGGCCTACCTCAACTCTTTTTTCTTCCTAGAGCCGAAAGTGTTGCTGCCATGTCTGTACAGTAAAAATTTGATTACCTTGGCAGAATTGGACTTGACAGCTTTAATTGTCAATTTTTTCAGTTAACTTATCTTTTTATTTAAATTTCTAATTGACGGTACATTTTTGACTGTTCATGAATTTGAGAATGCGTTAAAATTGTAAATTCAAACAAACGTTTTCGAACATTTTCGTGCATCTTCAGGTTTTAAAAATCCTAAACTGTTCATGAAAAAAACCGCAGTATGCCGGCGAACTTTTTAAGTTACTTCAAAGTTCTTATATGAATTTCAGTAGTAAAATAGGTATGACCAATTTAGTGAAAACACCTAAAAGTTGACTCGGTACTCGTTTAAAAGTATGATCCGGCTCCCGTATAAATCATCATTTTGAAGTGTGGTCGCGTAAAACTACCAATGGTCACATAAAAAAAGTCAGACAAAAAATTATTTGTAGTTTCTAAGTTTTGCCAATGAATTGATGATTTTGATAATTCCATTTTAAAGAGAAATTGAAAAGCAAGTCTATCGAAATGTTTACAAGTTTTCCTTTTGTCTTCACCCACTTGAAGTTATCTAGGTATTTTTCGAGTGGTTTTCTGAGTATTTTTAAATATTCAAACTTCTAAACGAGCGGTTTGAATGGGATGCATCAAAAACGGCGAGACCATACTTCTTAACGAGTACCATTGACTTAATAAACAGTTTAATAAATGAAATAGAAAACCCTGTGTGAATGGACCCAATTTACTTTAACGGTTGCGTTAAATATCTTGTTTTTTTTGTATAGATTTAAGGAAGCTTTTTTTCACGTTCAACAGTCTATTGAAAGCACCGGAGGTGCGAGTCATGCGCTAGTTATTTGTACGCTGCTGGTTCGGAATGTTGCTGAAGAGCTATGCTCGTAGACCGCGCAACATTTTTTAGGTATCTGAAATAGTAATTTGTAGCCACCCGACCTGAATGAGTGGACAGCACAAATATCCAACCGAGGTTCTGCGGGCCTACCTCAACTCTCTTTTGTTCCTAGAGCCGAAAGTGTTGCTGCCATGTCTGTACAGACGCTTTGGTATCCGGAGCATTCAAACCTCTGCTTGATATGGAACGTGGAGGAAGTTAGGTCAATCGGATTACCCGATCATAGGCAGAAGGTGACCCTACTGGTAGTGAGTTCAATGCTGGCGTTGCGATGAATGAAAGAAAACGTGACGAAATATCGAGAGTGGAAGGCACCGACAGCGGATTTGATACACGCCATTGATTACAGCAGGAGGCTTGAGTTGTTTGAGACTGCGTGCAAAGTATTCGCTATACCAATGGAGGTCAGGCACGTGTGGAGCCGCATAAAATTCTTCCCATGGTTTCGAGCGACATTGACGTCTTGATTATACGCGGTGACGAAGGATCACATGAAGAAGCATCAGAAAGAATATCGACAGTTCCTGGTTGAAATAGGGCAGGAAGCCTTCAAAAGACCCTTGCTGACCCATCGTAATGCAATCACAACGTGTTGGAAAAGAGTTGGTAGGGTGTTTAGAGATAACACCAAGGCGAGGGAGTCAATATTGGAAGAGGACTTAGCGAAGAACGTGAGTTTGAGCCTACACAACTCTTTTTGCCAGAAAAGGGAATCTAAAGTGAAGGGCTTGCCGAACCAGGCGAAGAGATTGCAAGAGCAGAGGGAGTGGATGCGATCCTACGAATAACTAAAGGCTTGGGAAGAGATCGTGATGGAACTTGATTACCCATTCATGCTAGAGTTGCTGGTTCATTTAGTTACTCCACTTCTAGAGTTTGTCGGTATGTGAGTACCCAATTTAAATTTCCTGAATGTGTTTTATATTGTTATGTTGAGATGAGGAGAGTTTTAGGTTGATCCATCTGAAATGGATCAAAAGTCCACTGTCTAATAAAAAGTAACTATACGGATTGTTCCGAACCTGTTTTTAACGGCGTTCGCGTGTCTTAGGTATTTTGAGACCTGAGTATGGGGACGTTCTTATTTTCTAGAGTGGTAGGGGTATTTTGGTAGTGGCCTCTAAGCTGTAACAAAGGTTTTAGTCTCATGTCGCAAGTGAACCGAATTGGCTACGACCGTTTGAGGTAGAAAAACACAAGAGATAGTGTTCCTGACTCTTGAGCCAATGTTTATAGGGTTTTTTTTCTTTAACCTCATATGTGACTTAAGTAGGCGACTGTTACATGGGCTGGAACTGGTTTCTAATTAGATTGATTAAAATTTTCCGCTTTTGCTCAATTTCTCGTGGATTCAGTCTATTATCATTAAACCCGGCGAAAATGGTAACTGTATTAGGGTGCTTTGGTCTGTGTTGTAATACTGTTTCATACAATTTTTGGAATATGGCGCCGCGGTAAGAGTGAATTGTAGATTTTACCAGAGCTGTTTTGATATATTTTGTCCTTGATGTGCCAACTAGAAGCTTCTGTGAAAAGTAAGGGATGCGCCTTGCCTGGAATCGGGGCATTCTCCTCAAACACAGACAGCGAAGGCAACGGAAAAGCTCTTACGAAGAAAGTTTAGGGATGGTTGGGCAAGGAATCAAAGAGTTTAGTTTGAATCTGAGAGTTAAAAAAAACACGAAAAAGTGATAGCTAGGAACGGTAGAACCGGTGGTGTTGTTGTAGGGTTGTTCCACCTGCTCACTCCTTCTTGCGTCTAGATACGCCAGTGACGCTTCACTCGCCTACGGCTGGGACGGCGAGATTTGGTGAGATAATCAGAAGAGGAAAGCCCAGCGCGCATATGAACTGAAAACACACACGCGGTAAATATGAACAAAGACTATTTAATAAGTTTATCACAACAATTAGGCTATTCAATAAGTCAAGCTGCCAAATAGTGACTGACACAGCCGCGCCAACGTGTTGCGAGTTGGCCATTAGATGTTACGACTCTGTACGAAATTTAGAGCCGGTTATCGCCGCAAAGCAGCAACGCGCGCTTAGCGCGCCCACCGGCGACCTTAACCGAGACTCGGCTAATTTAGTCTTTTGACCAATTGAAAAGATTTGGGATTTATGCGACTGCTTTTATATTTTGGGACCTATGGAAAAGATTTTTCAGTTTGGAACCTATGAATAAACACCTATACAAACATTTAATTTTATCAACAATTTCAGTTTTAGCCAAAGTTTTCAGCTCTGGAACTTTTCT